GAAAAAAGACGCCATGCCTACAGTCACAGTCTGGTCTCAGGTGCAGTTGTATCCAGTAATTGGCTTATGCAGGGATCTGTATAGATAGAGGTCTGTCCTCAAATTCCTTAGTTCTCTGCAGACTTAGTGGAAGTATTGGCAGTGACTATTATATCTTGATTCATTATTTGCCCAGCCCTGCCTAGACCTGCTTCTGTTTTTCAGATGTTTTTCCTGACAGCAATTCTCCCAATCAACCTCCCATGTGCAAATCAACCCAGGGAACTGAATGTGTAACCAGGAGCTTAATGCAAACTTTTCCAATGAACATATTTGCCCACTAAAAATAACTCCTGAGCTGATTATCAGTGAAGACCTATTTTCTCCTTAATTTATTGCTGCTGAGGTAAAAAAGGGCAAGAATGTGTCAGAGGACTCCATCACCCATAATTGGAGTTTTCTTTAAACTTAGGAATTAATGACATTACCAAAAAGTTTTTCATCTCTTTCCAGGTCCATAGCTTCACAAGGGGCATCAGTGTCCCCAAAGGACAGAGTTCTCAAAAATTAAATGCAGACAGAGACTCAAAAACTACAAAAATTACAAATCCACCGCATCATGTAGTCATAACCAAAATTTGGTATAGATATGGTAGGGAGTTTTCCTACACTAGAGTTGATTTCCTTAGCAATCTACTTGTAATGATTTATTACATTACTATCGCATTGAATGAATTAAACTTTATCATGTGCTAGATTAATTTCACCTATTTAATCTAATGTACTCTTCAAAAGTGCTTTAATATAGATAGCACTCTTCTTACTGACTCATTATGATAAATAATAACATAGGGAGTTTGACAAGTTATTTCTGATACAGAGTTAGCAAGTGGGAGAACCAAAAATTTAAACACAACCATCTCAGTTCATACTCAAGAGGGCTGAACTTTACCCTTATTCCACTTATTTATGCTGCTCTCACACAACTGTACTCCTAGCTATTTATGGGCAAAATAACATGCAGAATTAATGGTAGTGTCTATGAAATATGAAGTGAGAAACACCAAGCCACATGAGTAAATTAAGGACCCACTGCAAAGGTTATTGATGAGATCTGGTGAAATATTTTCATCAGCTTTATGTTGAAAGAAACAGAGGTTGGCAGCACTGCCTGAAGTTTTTTTCTTTTCTATTCTTTTCTTCTCTCCTTTCTCTCTCCCTCCCTCCTTCCCTTCCTTCCTTCCTTCCTTCCTTCCTCTCTCTCTTTCTCTCATTCTCCCTTTCTTCTTCCGGCTGCAATATCATATCATTACATAATTTGGTCCCAGCCTTTCATGTTAATCCTAGTAGTTTACACTGAATGTCTCAGATAAAGAATTCCTGTAAGTACATCATTAGCCAAATATTTGTAAAGGATCTATATCATATTTTTGAAAGAATAAATTTGAGTATATTGAAGTAACACAACCAGGCAATCAGTACCCCTACTTTAATTAAGCTTAGAAAGGTTATTTTTTGGTTATTTTTTTTAGTCTTGAATTTGCTACAAAGGTTCTACAAGTGCTACTCTCATTATAAAAAAATTGGAAATGGCTAATGTCTAAGCAACAAAAAACAAGTGAAAGTTAGGTGTGGTGGTGCTTGTTTATAATACCAGAACTCAGAAGATAGAGGGAGGATTGTGAATTCAATACTTAGATGAGCCACATAGTGAAATCATAAAAAGAGAGAGAAAGAAAGAGACAGTATATTATAAGAGGAGAGGAGAAGAGAGGAAAGAGGAGAGAGACAGACAAACAGAGACAGAGACAGAGAGACACAGAGACACAGAGAGACACACACACACACAAAGACAGACAGACCTTACTCACAAAATGTTTCATTTGCCTATCATAAACCCAAGAGAAGCTACTAAATATGAATATTTGGGAATAGTAAAAACTCTATATTCAGAGTAATCACAATTCAAAGCATGGGTTAATAGCAAAGTAGCACAATAGAATGATTTTTTTTTTCTGGTTGGTTGTGGGGCTTGAATTCAGGGCCAGGGAGCTGGCATTGAGCTTTTTGTACTCAAGGCTAGAGCTGTACCACTGTAAGTCACACCTCCATTTCCTGTTTGCTGGTAGTTAATTAGAGAGAGGAGTTCCAAGGACTTTCCTGCCAGGAGTGGCTTCGACCTGTGATCCTCAGATCTCTGCCTCAGAAGTAGTTGGGATTACAGGCATGAGCCACTGGTGCCCAGTGATTTTTTTAAATAGCAATCAATTGCTTCACATTAAAATGTTCCCTTTTCACCACCAATGATACTTTCACTTAAAGCCGTTAGGACAACCCATGTATAGGATCAGCACCTGTCATAACATATGACCGTTATCATTTGTAAATGTAAATCATCAGTTATGCACAGCCAGACAGATAACTGCACCCCGGGCTCTTCACATTACCCATGATACACACAGTGCACATTTGTGTCATGGTTGATGATTTCCAATGGGAATTACTTATGTTGCTGATAGGGATGCACTAGTCCAGGAACCAAGACACGTGAGTTCTTGTCCTACTCTTGCTCCCAAGAAGCCATCTTACAAGTTAGCTGATATTGTAGCCAAATTTATCACCCATCAGGGACTTGTCAGACTGATGGTTCCAGTAAGCTCGTGAGCCTCTCAAATGGTATCTAGGACTCTGCATTGAAAAGCACTAGGCACCTAATAAGATAACTGATGGATGCTGCTATTCATCTTAATGGTTCTTAATCATGATCACTGCAACTGAACACATAAACAGACAATCCTAACAGTGACTGAATTGTCCAACTGCTTTAACATGACATAGGCAATTACTCTTATTTTGTAGTCTGTGCACTTAAAAATCCATACAGTGATTCTGTTACTTCACTGGAGGAAACAATAAACAAAAATTTCTCTTGAGGCATTAAAATATCTGTAGAAATCATAGCTTACTTTGATAATGTGGAAATCAGTGGATTTGCTGAGACTCTCATGCATGATGTTCTTTGTTCATTATGTGCTTAGTTCCTGTTTTGATCAGTTGCATATAAATGTATTCTATTGTGATCTTTATTGTACTAGTCAGAAACATCACCTATGAAGTATTTAGTCAAAAATATATCTCCCTTGAAGTATTTTTTCCCATTAAGTCTGGTTTGTATACTTGCCCAGGTCTTTCCAAGACAAAATTTATGTCAACGTTTCTTTTATGTGAAATACGATAAAAGTAAAGAGGAGAAAGCATAGAAAGGGTTTCATTTGCCCACCCCAAACGTAAAGGAGACTACCGAATTACATGTTCAGAGATGAGCTGCTTATACCAGACATGGTATATGTTAAGTATGAATCCAATTAGTCTTTAAAAATGAAGCCATCTATGCTATATTATATAAGATTTGAAAACATTTACTTATGCTTTAATCTACTCTTGCATTTTATATATTAAATTGTATATATGAAATTGTCATATAATTATGATTCATAACAAAAAGATTCCAATGTATTGAATTTGCAGATGGGAAATCAAATAAAAACAGATATGCATAAGGGATAATTTCTAAGCAAATACATATGCAAATTAACCCAAGAAAGGAAACTTCTCACTTTCTTGAGTGAAGCTAGGAAATCCCATTTGCCTTGAACCATTACTTGAATCCCAGGTCCTCTATGTCTTTATTTTTAAAACCATTGCCTATGAGAAATACGTTGAGAGCAGGGGTTTTCCTAGTCTGTAACATATTCTGCACTATTCAGCAAGAAACAGAGCTGGGCTGCCACTCTACTATTCCAGACACACACACACACACACACACACACACACACACACACACACACAAGATTAGATAACAAGTTTCTCTTAGCTTGAAACAAAAACTTTGATCTCAGGAATTGTGTCATCTGGTACTTTTTTTTTTAGGATCCAGAATCTCAAAAGAAAGAAAATAGTTTGCAATGAATTAATAATGGCTTTGAGTCTCAACATGCTACAGCAATTTTCACTACGGTGGTTGTTTCTTTTATAGTCACACTTGATTAGTATTTGAAATGTGGAGGAATTGCAATATGCATGGTTTTCAAAGCCCTTTACAGAATTTCATTTTTATCACTCGCAGAGAGTCAATGAAAAGGTAATAAGAAAAGCTCTATGGGATATTTTTATAGGAATGTCAGAAGCCAGTAAGCTAACTACATGAAAGAATCCAGATTGTACAGACCGGGTTTGGAGCAGAAATACTTCAGAGACTTTATATCTAGTATTTTGACTTTTACATGTCCTTGGAGAAAAAAGTGTGCTGGTTACAAAACCAAATAAGGAGGCAAAAGGAACATACAGTATGCTTAAGAATAATTACAGTTTCAATTTTCCTGCAAACTAAATATGAAGTTTCAGAGATAAAGTATAATAGAAATTGAGCTGGTTTGGTGTGTTTACAATATTGTCAAAAGAAAATTCTTATTTCTTTTGCTAACTCATCCCTGATTTCTACCAGATGGAAGTTAGTCTGGGTAGCTTAACTGAATGTCACCAACTCCTCTATGAGTCCATTTGCTCTTGTTTATCTCTCTACAGAAATGAAAAAGTTCAGATCATCATCTCTATAAATGAAACCATTATAGTTGAAGCCTACATTTGATTACTTGTCTGCCACATTTAAATATTTCAAGACATATCAACTATGAACCTCCTTTCAAGCCATGAATCTTGTTCACTCTTCTAGTAGAGATATCAAAACATCATTATCATAAAAATAGAAGTAATCTCAACACACATTTTGGGCCACAAAAGCTATAAATGAAGAAAAATGTCATTATGGAAAACAATGAATAGCCCTATCATTATTGTGAGTGTTTAATATCATGCTGCACTTAAAACTTCATTTCTAAAAGGTTTGGAGGACAGTAGTCAATTCAGATGAGAATATATTCCCAACAAATGGCAATACAAACACATACACTGTACCTTTGTTAGACAGGCCACTAAAACCACAGTCCTGGGGCTTAACTAACCTCTAGTCAGAGTGGTGCCTGCTACTGCAGGGCCTCATCCTTGCTCTTCTGTTTCTCCACCCTGGCCGAATCATTGTGATAACCAAGTGGTACTCTGGAATCCAGGCCAGCTTGATTTGAGTGAATTTTCTTGGATATGTCCACGTGGTGACTCTGGAATGACACAGGCCAGCGTGATTGATTTCACAAGGAAATTACCAGTACAAAATACATGCTCCCTAAAGATATGACGAGGATAAATATTTAGCATATAGCCAGTCATTTCTGTATGGCCAAAACAAGTTATACATTTTACATTGTGGAAATTTAGGTGTGAAATATTTTAAGTAACTTCTGTGACTAGAAGAACTTATTTTAAGCACAGAAACTCATATTAAAATACTATTTGTGGATATTAGTTTTTCTTTGTGAAGCGTCTAAAGTATTTCCTCACTTAGAACATTTTACCCAGTTTATATTCTCTTAGTTAAATAATCTAGCCTTTTAATATATTATACAATTTATTATTATTATTATTGTCATCATATTTGTAATGCTGGGGGTTGGATCCAGGAATTAGTATGTCCTAGGCAGGTACTTGAATCATATTTCCAGCTCTGTAATAAAATCTCCATGTCATTTTTATATTATTGAACTCTTTATACAGAAGAAATTTACTCTTTTTTTTTTTTTTGGTCCAGTCGTGGGGCTAAACTCTGGGCCTGGGCGCTGTCCCTCAGCTCTTCAGCTCAAGGCTAGCACTCTACCACTTGAGCCACAGCTCCACTCCCGGCTTTTTTTTTCTTTTTGCTTATGTGGTGCTGAGGAATCGAACCCAGGGCCTCAGGCATGCAAGGCAAGCACTCTACCACTGAGCCACCTTCCCAGCCCAAGAAATTTACTCTTTATTCATTTTTATTTTGGTGGTATTGAGGTTTGAGGTCAGAGGTAGGCAACACTCTAGTACTTGAGCCACTCCATGAGTTCTTTTTTGCACTGGTTATTTTCAAGATAGGATTTCTTATGCCCAGACCAGATCTTCCTATTTGCTCTTCCTTTTGTTGCTAGGATGACAGGTATCTTCACATTTAGCTCATATTTAGCTCAGCCATTTTGTTTTGTTTTTCCCACAGTTGAGGCATGTGCCAGCAATCATGCCATTGATTGAGATGCTATCTCTGGAAATTTTAACTCTGGCTGGCTTTGAACAATCATCTTCACCTTCTAAATAGTTAGTTTACAGATTTTAATCTACTTGATCAACTCAGAACAAATCTTAATATATAATCTACATTTGCAATCCATGTTACAAGAATTCTGCAAATCTCACAAAGCTCCCATAGTCAATTTAAGCATCATAATTTATGATAATAAAGACAACATCAATAGCTCTTATAATTCTTATCACTGGGGGGTGATGCCTTAGTGTTTGCCATTATGCTGACCCATTATACACTTCATGAGAATCATCAGTTTGAGCCCAAACTGAAGAGCAAAGTAGGACAAAGAATTTCAACACTTTGTTTCATACTCAAATTCAGACTACAATTTATCAACTTGAATGTGAGTATAGGATGTTTTTAGATTCACAGTCAAAATTAGCCAATTAATTTTGGCCATCCACATTAGCTATTTTGGCTCATTATAGGGTAGGATAATGAATAACTTTTCTCTAAAGTTCCTTTCATGGATGAGGTGTTGAATTGAATTCATTAAAAACTTGATTTTATAGACTGAAAAGCTTTTAAAGCTTGGAAAATACCAATAAGAAAATTATCAGTATAATTACATAATTTTGTTAAAATGAACAGTGCCAGGGCTCAAAGGTAGACTCGGAGTCTTTGCATTCCATAGTGACACAAAGTTAGTACAAGGTTCTTTGTGCTACCCTCTGAGTGATCAGATTAGTTTTTCAAGGCAGTGGACTGGTTGCATGCATGGTCTCAATCCTCTGCTCTCTGTGTCCATGTCCTTTGCATGCCCTCCTATTCTGCCTTCTAGATTGTCCATGTGGCTTTTTCTGGAACAACAGGATATTGCCACAAATGGAGACATCAAAGACACTTGCAGAAATGGTTTTGTTCATTCTTGCACTTTCATTAGACCATGGGAGGTTAGCCCACTTGTCCAAGGTAAAGCAACCAACAAGTTTAAGGAATCCTACATAGTTGAACTAAGTCAGCCTAGATCAGAGTCAGGGAAGCCCCACAGCCCCATGAACTAAACAAGTGTCATTTTGGCTACACACGATTAAGGTGTTCCGATGGTCATGTGATATTGTGAGGTGCTAACTAGCAAATGCAACAATCACACATCTATGGTACCAAGCATAGAGGGTAGTGAGAGTTTCTAAATGGCTTAAATACAAGGCCTAAAATTGCTAAAACAGAGAATTTAGACAGAGGGTGGTCAGTCATTTGTAGGTAATTCCCATTTCTGATGACTAAAAATAGGTCTTAATGATGCTACCAGGTGGTAAACTGACTGTGTCACCTGATGGGCCCTCTGTGCTTCAGGCATTGGGAAATGAAGAAATAAAACCCTAGCAATGACACCAAGTTTTCAACCATACATTTACACTGAGAAAATGTAAATGCATGCAAAGTATAGATGGAAGAATAGATGTTTGTGCCAACACGCATCAGCCTTTAAGAACATTCCATAGTTGTACTTATAACATAAATCTTGTTTATTCTGTGTACTTTCCACTTAAATAGTTATTTGAAATGAGTCATTTGGATTCTGGCTGTTAATACAAAGTGACTATTAAATTATTTTCCATGTTATTCTTGGCATATAGTTTTCATGTTGATTTTAGTGTTCCTGTGAAAGTAATGATCCAATTATAAGGTGCTGAATATGTTTCTCATGAACAAAAAAAGAACAAAATAAATATTACCCAAAATTATGATCATTAAGGCATCCATGAAAAAAAATAAAGTTCTTTTTGTCTACGTTTATCTTTCATGTTATATATAAGGTCATTTTTGCTCAGTAAAATTATCCTTTACCATGAAATATATTGAGATTCCCAGTTCATGATTGTGTCCACTTATGCCCTTTCTCCCCAAAGGCAAAGAGGCTTGATTTTCTTAGAGGGCTGCAAATGACCTGTCTTGGCCAAGGATGAAATAGCCATTATATTTAAAACAACATAAGTCATCCTATATAATGTACTTTCCTCTATGCTTTGTAAAAATAATAATCCTCTTCTAATCAGCTGAAAATGTAATCTATTTCTTCTCTGCGTATACAAACAACTGCTCCATTACACTATTTATTTTTCAATCAGAAAGCAAATTTGAGAGATATTTCACAAGAAATTTCAAATGTTATTTAATGAACTTCTCCTTAAATTTCTTTTAAGGAATTAAATTTGACTTAAAACAAGAACAATAGCAATATTCCATAGATTATACATTAAAGGAATATCAAACCAATCTGGAGGAACTTAAGCTTGCTATGCATATTCCAATTATCATTCCAGAGAATACTCAGTCCTCTAGGTAATCTTTCTCTGTGTGTGTTGGAGCACAGAGTTCTCTTATGGTTGAATTACCATAAGTAATGACCTAGGAGATTATTAAGATAAATTTTTCAGCCTAGTAAAAATATATAACCCTGGAAGTAATTTATCCTCTACTGTGTGTTCTACTGTGTGTGTGTGTGTGTGTGTGTGTGTGCGCGCGAGCGTGCGTCTTTTGTTATATGGTTCAACTACCACAAATAATTTAGAGGATTACCAGTGTGGCTATTCATGCTGATAATCTGAACCACTTAGAAGTGAGAATCAAGAGAATAATTGTTTGAATTCAGCCTGGGCAAAATGTTAGCAAGACCTCATTTCAACCAAGAAGCCTGGCATGGTACACACCTGTATTCTCAACTACATGGTAGGCCATAAGTAAGGGCATCTCTAGCTGAAGTTAGCTCCAAGAGGAAAAAATATCAAAACCTTTTCTGAAAAAGTAACCTAAAGCAAAAATGACTGGAGATATGGCTCAAGTGGCATAGAGTTTGCTTAGCAATAATAAGGCCCTGAATTAATATAGCCCAAACATAGAGACAAAGGTTTGCACTTTTTCTGAGGAAAATACTTAAATAAGCAAGAATGTGAGCTGTGAAAAGCAATCTAAGTGGAATCATGTAGTTCTCTCTTCTCTTGTATACAATTTGAAATTTTCTGTAGTCATCTATGCACTCATAAACAGCCTTCTATGTCATCCTTGTCCCAACTGAAAGTAAATTCTTGGGGCCCAAATGTGGTTGATAGTCAACTGCAGATCAATCCTTTCTTCTCTGTGCCAAGTATCACCAGAAGTTCAGCCACTTATAAAAGATTTGGAGTTTTCCATCTATCTTCTTCCCTCATTAGGATCATACAAGAGACATCAGGCCCTAGAATAGAAGATGCCTGTATCTACTTTCCCAGTTTCTCTGGTAAAGATGACAGCCTTCCATTACTGGGCCTTCTATCTCTCCTGGACTGGCTGGGATTAGATTCAAGAATAGACATCTCTGTCGAGGTATGATTAGCACTCTTACCATGATAGCATAATAAAGATTTTGCATGTTCCCTTGGGAAGAAATCCTTTATTTCTTTGTAAGATTATTATAAATCCTTGTCTTCTAATACCTATTTCAACAGCATGTTAGGCATTAAAATAAGAGATTATCAGTACTCATATTTCAATAACACATTCCTCTGTTCTCTTTGCTGAAACTGGAAAGGAGCTTATTTAAGATTTCCAAAGTTACTGTCCTGATTTGACATTGAGTTGATCACCTTCTTGGGAAAAATAAGATTCTAGCCTGCCAATCAAGATGCCAGTATAATCCTATACTTTGAAAGAGTTTAGGAATTCTTTTTACAATATTTGGGTAGAAAACCCAATTAATTAATTAATTAATCACTTCATTCCCCTTCTTCCTACTCTAAGGTTCTATGAACTTGGCCAAAAATGGAAAGGGCATTTTAAGTGATACTTAATTGAAGTATTTTCATCTTAAAACAGGAACTGAATGGATAGCTAATTTATAGAGTTTTGAGACAAATGAGAAAGCCGCATTACCTTTAAGATGTTAGAAACAACACTCCAGGTACTGGACAAGCATTGGAAAGGGTTAGTTATTTTACAGATAACATGGTGTTTTCCCTAGGTCAGCTTACCTAA